CCTGGGTCACTGTCGGTTCCAGCGACCCAGGCCACCAAACCACTACCGGTTCGACTGAACCAGTCCGAACCGGTAGGAACCCACCTCTGGTATGACTTCTCTCTCCCATCAATACTAACTGAAACCAAACATAGAAAAAGGAGAACAGCCACAGAACAGGGGCTTCCACACCCAAAAGCTACCAAAGCACAAGATAATAAAGGTTTTATCTACTAACATATAATTGCATATTAATGGTTGTATGTCATGTAGCATATGTAATGAAAACAATGCCATCCGTGTACCCCCAAAAATATCAACAGGTTCTTGATAAGAAAAATATTAATCCCAACAAGATTCCATTTACTTTACCTCACAGAACAAAAGAAATGTGAGCTCCTCTCCTTGGTCATGGTATAATTTGAGATTTGATAGGAATTGACTGTGTGTGTGTGTGTGTGTGTGTGTGTGTGTGTGTATGAGATAATGAAAATATGCATTAAAAAGTATAACATAACTTTTCTTATGTATGATTATATGACATTGATTGGCTTCTCAAATCTGAATCTCCTCCAGAATTGCTTAGAATACACAGATTACCCTTTATAACTTTTTTTTAAACTACAAAAGGAATTTTTGTTAATCTTTTCATCTGAATGCAAAAATCATATGGCAAGGGAATACCATGTTAAGATGAATGTAAGATTTTAGCTAAGCTTACAGTTGAACTGAATACCATCTCGGTATTTCACTCTGAATAAGCAAAGTTGAACGAAAGGTTTAAATGATTCTGTGATGAAGTCCTGTAAAAATGGGATTAACCTAATGTTGTTTGGATCAAGATATAAATAGATACGTATGTAAGACAGTGGGGATCCTCTTTATTGATTTCTTCAAATTTTGTGACTTCATCTAATTTCCCTGTAAAAAGTGCATATAAATGAATATGAATTTGCTGTAAATTGTAGAGAGATTTATAAATCCATTTGATTGATGTCAAAAGCAAAAGCTGTAAATTTGCCCCCCAGGAGGCTTTTATTGAAAATAGCCACAAAATGGCATTTGATTTTTTTCTTCCATTAAGAAAGCTTTGGACTGCTTTAAAAGGCAAATAATAAATCTTAATTGATTCTCTTTGAATCTAAACTTTGTGCTTTTGTTTTATTTGTCCTGTGGTCTGCTTGTATCTACTCACCATTCATTTTCTTGCTTCTTTTCCAGTTGAGTGTTGACACCAGGACCTATTCCTTGTAAAGTATTTTATAATCTCTACAGGGCTCAGTCTTTAACATGGCAATAGCTTCTTTGCGTCACGGAGTAACCATCGCTGGAGCTATCCTGCTGGTGACAGGAACACTGTGCTTTGCTTGGTGGAGCGACGGTGAAATGGGGGTCACCGCACCCAGCAGTGACTCCAAAGTCACACCTCAAGGAGAAACGGAACTTATGACCAGGGCTTCCTCTTCCAGTCCTGTACTCAGATCAATCAGCTTCTTCTGTTGTGGAATTGGTGGGCTGCTTCTTGTGTTTGGACTCCTTTGGTCAGCCAATGCTGGAATAATTTCCCGGCACTACCAGTACCATTTTCCCAGCGACCTTCAGTACTCCACAGTCGAACCTCTTGAGAAACAGACATGCAGGTTAGCAAGATCTTTGTAGCCATACCTGAGAGATCAATGTAGTCCTTTAACTTGCCCAGCAAATAATTGTCAGGAAGTGTTACTTCAAGAGAAGCATCATACAAGAGAAGAGAGGGATAGAAGGTTAATTTGACAGAAGCCATCTAGTCAAATGGCTTTCTGTAACAGGTATTGCTTTCAAGACTTTTATCTTGGGGTAGTCCAGCACCACATTAACCTTGCAGACCATTAGGCCTTTCTCAACCAAAGGTCATGCTTGTTGAGCCATGACTGCTGACAAAAGAATGTCTCCGTTACAGTCTACCTCAGTTTTATGTCTTATAAATGTGTTGCACATGATTGTAAATTTCTTCAAGTTAAGCTTGACTTTAGTAACTTGATGGAACTGTCAATATAGAAGTAGTTTACCATTACTTTCTGGGATGTTTTTCAAATTCATAGTCTAGCCAATATAACCTTGTTCTTTGCAAACCTTACAACCAACTTTTAACCAGCCCCAACCCTGCTTAGCTTTGGAGACAAAACAAGGATAGCTAGGCAGCTAGACCACCACTTCAAAATATTCAGCCAGCACAGCAATTGTTTGGACACAATAAGGATAGTCCAAATTTCAGAAGGATATCATATTGAGACACTTTGTTTTAGTGTATCAACCTCTGCAAAACCGAACAGTAATACAATAACAGTACTGTATTATTAACTCATTTTAAATATGATTGTGAAACTCATGATGGTTGAATTGTTAGAATTTTGTTTTTCACAAAGAAATTTGATTCACTTGTACCCCTTTCTTCCTTTTAGTCTAGATAGAGCAGTGTCTGCCTGACTAATCTGGTTGCATGATGATTTCAACACTCCCTATTTGTAGTTATTTCCACTTCTAAATCATTTTTCCCCTTGAAAAAGAGGAAATGAGATGAGCAAAGGTTATGTGAAAGTTTTATCTGTACACAAACCATGTTGTAAAATACAATAGAAAAAAATGGGTCTGTTTTATGGCCCATGCAGTAAAGATTAATCAGTGGTCATACCTTTGAGTTTTAATACAGAGTGTTTGTTAAGAGTGTGGAAAAAGCTTGAGGATCCATTGTGTATGAATACTACACTAACATTCAAGAAATTTGTAGCACGATCTGCTGCTTGCCTTGCTTTCAGAGGCTGAATGGGTAAGACAGCCTCAAACTGTCACATTCAATCTGTGTTTTCTGATATAATATCTGTACTGGGTAAAGATTTTGGGGCACCCCCAGTTTAAAGGCATTATGGTTTCTGCTGGTACATGGTGAAAACATTTTTGTTTACTTTCACATTTTCCTCACTCTGTCTTAAAAGCTTGGAAAGTGATCCTGGTAGAGGTATGATTTTGATTGGACATAGAAAGCCCAATTCCTGCTAAATGCACTCCGGTTTTCTTCCCTATTTTGTTTGGATAACCATGTTGTGTGGATGGAGCAGGAAAAAAATGGGAGTTTGGGGCTTGGCTGTGATGTGTTGATTGTTATGAGTCAGATTGACCTGACTAGATAACATCTCTGCCAGACAGGGTTTGTTTCCCTGTGTATTCTTCCTTTTTAAAAATATATTGCACTGAGGTTGTCAACATTTGTAAACCCCTCTTTCAACTGTAGCTTGTAATCCAAACCCAATTTTGTTTCTCCTGCTGGTGATAAGGACAGAGTACTATGACTTATGGAACTTGGCTGGTGCCAGAGGATAAGAATTTCATTAACAATAAGATTTTACTAATACAGTATCTGCATATTTTTTTTCACAATGTGGCAGAGGAAGAACTTTAGATGTAAAAGATTTGAATTTAGGATTTTGCAAAACTGGCAGATTCGTTCATCATTATAAACCTAAAGGAAATTTCCTTATGCTCAGCATGACTTAGCTCCAGAGATATATAAGCACAATTTCAAAGCTATTTGAATATATCTCTTATCATCTATCATTTCTCCTTCCCTCCGTCCTTCTCTCTTACTCTCACTCTTATCTATCTAATCTCCATCCCTGCCTGCCTGCCTGCCTGCCTGCCTGCCTNCAATACTGGACTACTGTAACGCGCTCTACATGGGGCAGCCCTTGAAGAGTGTTCGGAGACTTCAGCTTGTCCAGAATGCAGCCGCGCGAGCGATTGTGGGTGCACCTCGGTACACCCACATTACACCTATCCTCCGTGAGCTGCACTGGCTGCCCATTGGTCTCCGGACACACTTCAAGGTGCTAGTTGTTACTTATAAAGCCCTACATGGTATTGGACTTGAGAGACCGCCTCCTGCCAATTACCTCCCAAAGACCTATTAGATCCCACAGACTAGGCCTCCTCCGAACCCCATCTGCCGGCCAGTGTTGGCTGGCAACCCCTCGGGGAAGGGCCTTCTCTGTGGCTGCTCCGGCCCTCTGGAACGATCTCCCCGCTGAGATCCGGATCCTTACCACCCTTCCGGCTTTCCACAAAGCAACTAAGACCTGGCTGTTCCGGCAGGCCTGGGGCTGTTGAATTTTCCAGCCCCATCCGCGGTTATGACTGTTGCTGTATTTTTAAAATGTTTGTCTTTTTATTTTTATTTTGTACCCCCTTCCCCTCTGATTGTGAGCCGCCCTGAGTCTTCCGGGAATAGGGCGGCATACAAATCAAATAAACATAAACATAACATAACAAAAGATACAGAAGAGATTGCCAACTTTTCTGTGACCTGACAAAATTCAGTGGTATGATAGCAAGTAGCACTTAGACTTATATACCGCTTTACGTTGCTTTATAGCCCTCTCTAAGTGGTTTACAAAGTCAGCCTATTACCCCCAACAATCTGGGTCCTCATTTTACCAACCTCGGAAAGATGAGAGGCTGAGTCAGCCTTGAGCCGGTGAGAATGCTTTAAATAGAAGTCCAAAATAGAGGAATTTAAGGGTCTCCACCAACCTTTGGTCCTGAAAAATTGCATATGCTTAATTTGTATGGTTCTGGCTGCTGCCAGATGCATAGGATCAGAACTTGTAGAAGAATCATTCATTCTGTACAGGTATTGTAGTCCTTGACTTGCAACCATTTATTTAATGACTGTTCAAAGTTATAGCAGTGCAGAAAAAAAGTGACTTATGAATGCTCCTTTCATTATGACTGCTGCAGTGTCCCCCACAGTCATGTGTTCAAAATTTGGACACATGGCAACTGGCATGTATTTACAGCTATTGCAGCATCCCAAGATCACTTGTTCACCCTTTGCATCCTTTCCTAGTGTCTCCTGACAAGAAAAGTCATTGGAGAAAGCCAGATTCACTTAATGACATCAGCAAAAAGAGTCATGAAATCAGGTGTGACTCACTTAATGACACATCGCCTAGCAACAGAAGTTCTAGTCCCAATGGAAGTCATAAGTAGAGGACTACCAGTAAATGGGTACTTTTTGCTTCTTAAAGGGGGATGGATGACTTACTATGTCTTCCTTTAATTAAAATGTTTATTTACAGGTTTAGAACAATGCAGAACAATAAATCTTTGGGGGCTTAAAATTAGGACAGGAAGTGGACCCCTCTGTCCTGCTGGGCCTCAAATTAGATTCCACTCTTGCCAGCAGCCCATATCTGTTCCTCCAAAGTAGATTGTGTTCCATCTGTTCCTCTTTCAGAAGAAGGCGAGGAGCTGTTCCTCCCCATCTTCTGCAAAAAAAAAGCCTAGAAGATGTGCACTGTCACATGTTTGATCAATTCTTCCTTCAAGCTAAAGAATAGGTTATGTGGGTGTTAGACAATGGATCTGGTGGCAGCATCAAGAATGCAATTAAGTCTCTGATATTTTTAGATGGGTTGCACCCTTTTATTGGTTAAAAGGAAATATTCTTCTCTAAAATTAGTTATATTCAGGATGGGATTATCTTAAAATTGATTCATTTCATCCTCTTCCCCCATGGTGTTCAGGGCAATCTGTGCATGTTTACATAGAGATAAATGGGCAGAGGTAAGTGGGCACAGCATTATGGTCATCATTGGAAATAACAATAGCATTTAGACTTATATACTGCTTCACAGTGCTTTTACAGTCCTCTCTTAAGCGCTTTACAGAGTCAGCAACTATTACTATTGCTAATTTAATTTGTGGACCATAAAATTTAATTTCTAAATGAAACTGTAGATAGTTTTTAAAAAACTGAAATACTTTCTTTGACTGGCCATCTTTCATAGTGTCCTCAGCATTTTGTTTTTCTTCCTTGCCCTGCATCCATGCCTTTTNCTATCTATCTATCTATCTATCTATCTATCTATCTATCTAATCTATCTCTATCATCTATCTAATCTCCATTCATCCATCCATCCCTGTCTGCCTGTCTCTCTGTGTCTGGCTATCTGTCTGTCTGTCTGTCTGTCTATCACCTATATCCTTTATGGGACAAGTGAAGATAGTCCCCCCCTCTAAATTTCTAGTTCCTCTAGAACAGATAACAGTGCTCATGCTCGTCTTTGTTTAAACCTTATTTTAGAATGGAATATTGGATTTTAGGACACACCCACCCCAACTGACTTTCTTTGTGGTCTTGATTCTGTTTCAGCACCTGGGAGGCCACCAGTATTCCCACTTATGAGGAGGCTTTGAATTGTCAGCCGGCTGAAAATGCCTCCAGCGACATGCAGTCTCAGATTTCAAAGGAGATTCAGCTGCCCTTATATCAGGTGGCGGATGAAAATCACAAAGGGCAGGGCAGCCGAAGACGCAGTTCCTCTGACGGGGTTTTGTTTCGGAACATACCACCCAAGCCAAGCTTAGCGTCACGAGATGAAGCTATCATTGTCTGCGACACTCCACCCCCAAGCTATGAGAGCATAGGCTTGGGTGATGGATGATCCAGGCATCTTTTATAGCACTGTGTAGGAATTTCTGGATTGCTGTAGACATTTGTTTTCCTTTCATTAATTGTGGCATATTGGGATAAAATGACACACACACACACACACACACACACACACACACACACGTATTAGGAGCTTTTGCTAAATGATCCAAGAGTAGTCTCAACATTGTTTTGTAGTATGTGATTAATATGTATGCAGTAAACCTCATGGATGTCCATATTCTTTGGAGGTGCATCCAAAATATGAACTAAATATAACACAATTGACTTGGGTAGAACTACTTGAAAGATGCTCATGAACAAGCCTAGAAGGAAAGTTTGCAATAAATTCAGGTAACTAGGTCCTGGGTTAACGGTTATTGAAAAAATAAAAATGTTCTTAATAAAATCTATTATCAATTGATGATCAGCTCAACTTTTTGTGCACAATGGGGCATAGCTGGATATAACTACTTTCTGAACATTTGCAGTAGCAGCAAAAAAACCCCACAAAACTGAATTGGAAGGATTTGTTTATCTCCGGCCAGAGTTTGCAAAGACAAAGGATGACCTTGACTTTCTAGAAATAATTTTGTTATGGCTACATAGCATCTAATTCCTTACAATCCCTCCTCCCGTTTTCCCACAATAGAAAATGCATAATAGAATAATACGAAGTGTGGCAGGCCAGTGATCCAAAAGAAAAGATGGCTGCAGGCCTGACAACCCCCTCTGAGATCCTTTACAAGAACACATGCTCTTATTGGCTTCCACTTATATTAAGTTGCCAGGGACAATGTTTTATTACTATTAAATCTAATTGTTTGGTACAATGTAACTTAGTGTTTCATAACCTATTGGTGGTACCACCAAAGAGGTCTAACAACTTTTCCCCATTGCTGAACTGATGCTCTCCATTCATCTTTGAGCCAACATAAAACTATGCCAGCATGACACTGGTTGTCCTCACTGTGGTTCCATATCCTGTGTCGGGCACTTCCCCTTCCATTCGTATTAGCTGTGACTTCCCTTTCTTAGGGTCAAAACCTGTATCTCTTGAGTCCACTTTTGACAGTGCTGGAGAAGTGGGGAAATACTAGTTTAATACTGATATAGCTCAAGGAGATTTAAGTCTGCCTCACTTATGAATTGGGAAGGAGATGAAAGTAGCATCATGGGAATATGGCATAAAAAGATGTGGCTTGTAGTAGTGATGTACATGCAGGAAAAACCTGCAAGTGGGACATAATTTACTTCACAACTGGGAAAGACCCCAGAGAAAGAGAAGAGAAGGCAGGCAAGAAAAAGTCAGGTTGGCTGAACTTGGAGAACTGAGCAAATTAGCAGTGTCTATTCTGGAACTGAGAACTGGAATTGTCTCAGAAAAGTTAGAAAACAAAATAATATTTTGTGTTCGTTAACAATCTCTTCTTTAATGTAATGCCTGATGTGTGTTTATGGAACGATTCTCTCACTAAATCAACCCAAATTAGCTGTCTCTTATAACTGTAGCAGTAAACATTGTTTTCAACAAATTACTGCTTTTCATCTGACCTTAAAACTTACGGTAAATAAAAAATAGGCTTCTTATTTCTAACTTGGTGAGACTCAGGTTGTTTGATGGAAGGATCAAACTTCATATATGAAAGATGGAGAACCAGAAACCTAAGAAATCTTCTGAGATCCAAATTCTAGGTTTCAAATATAACAGGACAAAAATATTCATTAATGTTTCATTAATGACTTCAGGGAGAAGAAAGTTGGATTCATATTAGCCATTCTTACCTTGTTAAGGTTGTTGGATTTTCAGTGGATCCTTATTGCAGTTTACCATATCATATGATTCAATGGAATCATAACTACACACATAACTAACTAGCTTATATTTTATCATTATAGCTATTGCTTTGCAGGTCAGACCTTCATATAGTTGTCCATTTTGTATAGGCTAATAAAATATAATAAAGACACTGTGGACCATAGCGATTTCTGTTATAATAAAGTCATTAGTCCTTAAAATGCCCCCTTTGTTGTTTTTTTGCTCCAAGAGAATAATTAGACTGATGGTGCATTCTGCTTTACAAGCCCAGCATTCAATTTTATTGGTTGGTTGGGTTGACAAACCAGAATGTGATTAGTTTGATTTCACTTAGTCAAATTTCTCTATGGGGTTTTTATTTTAACAGAATAAGAGTTGGAAGGCAGTTGGAACACTCATTAAGGAGCTTCTATACCTAGCTGAGAGATTCCTCCTCAAAGTTGCAATGTGGGCAAGATACCACTGACAAGTCCTGGACAAAAAGTAGGCAGGACAGAGGGGCATCAGCTGCCGATGTTGGAAACAGCATAGCAGAAAATCTTGGGATGGAACTGACTAATTCTAACTGCCCAGAGTCAGGAGTTCAATCCTAACCGGCTCAAACTTGATCTAACCTTCCATTCTTTTGTGGTTGGTAAAATGACCCAGATTGTTGGAAGCAGTACACCGACTCTGTAAACTGCTCAGAGAATGCTGTAAAGCACCATGAAGCAGTATAAAAGTCTAAATGCTGTAAACAGGCAGCAGCCAAGACTGGCCCAGAAAGCATGGTTGAACAAAGAGGGTAATCTCATCCCTTCCTCTCTATAGTCTTAAGTAATATCTTGTGTTTAGTTATATCCAAAAACAAGAATAAAAGCTTGGTAAACGCCAGAAACTCTGAACAAGGCATAGAAATGTTGCTCTTGAAATTTACTTTAAAAGTGTTAGGAAGTGGGTTTTTTTTACCATAGCATTGGTTGTAGCCTATTTAGTGCCTCACAATTAACAACTCAAGATGAAGAATAATGTGACACACGGAGGTGGGAAGGAGGACATGAATGTCTCCCTTAACTGTTTTCAGCTGAAAATATGTCCAGTCGTGCTACTGAGTCTGCCTCTAAATCTGAACTCAGTGAGGATCCAAGATGCAAATGAATAACTTATCATCCGAGTGTTTTGTTTTCTGGATGGCGAGATGGGAATATTAAGACTGAGTCACTTGTTTATTCTGGTGTGATAACAGGGCATTAAATGATTTCATTGCTGCTTATATACAAGGGTGGTTATGATCTCAACTATGGCCTTGGTGAAACTCAATATATCAAAGAAAATAATTAAGAATCCTGACTCTCTGAAAACATAGTCCAGGTAGTCCTCAACTTACAACAGTTCATTTAGTAACCATTCAAAGTTACAATAGCACTGAAAAAAGTGACATGATGATTTTTCACATTTACGACTTTGTAGCATCCCCATGATCATGCAATCAACATTCAGATGCTTGGCAACTGGTTCACACTTATGACCGTTGCTGTGTCCCAAGACCATGTGATCATCTTTTGCAACTTTTGACAAGCAAAATCAATGGGGAAGCCTGATTCACCCAGCAAACATGTTACTTACTTAATCAACCACAGTGATTCTCTTAACAACTGTGGCAAGAAAGGTCATAAAATGGGGCAAAGCAAAGCAACTTAACAAATGTCTCACTTAACAACAGAATTGTTGGGCTCAATTATGATTATAAGTCAATGACTATCTGTAATGCAGGAGATTTTCACAGAACAGCAGTTTGAGAGACATGACTCCTCATTTTCAAATGAGGTAGTCAGACTTACCCTAAAAAAGATTTTATCCTTCCAAAACAGCCACAAACTTAACCTGAATTATCTCCTTGCTCATTGTTTAACATAACTGATTAGGGGGAAAATATTTTCATTTCTAATCTCTTGAATTTACAGCTGCCCATTTCCCCCTCAAGTCTTGTTACCAGTTTACTAAACTAGAAGAAAGCTTTCATCCATGTAGTTTTTGGAATATTTCCTAACACTATGTACCAATATCTTATTTCATATGAGTAATTAATGTTCTCGTTTCAATTAATGTTTGTGAGCAAAAGTAAAAATGTCATCTTTTGGGTGGCGTGGTTTTTTTTGTTGGCTTTTTTCAGAATAAATTGGTTTAGTTCTGCTATAATAATCATTTAACTTAAAATAATTTGCAAATGACAACTGCAAATAGTCTCAGATGAATATGCCAGAGGATAGATTCGAAAAATGATTGTAAGGCTAAGAGTCAGCATGATATAATCAACCATCATCTGCTGGCCATATTTCCTATCTCTGGCTTAAGGACACAATCTTATAATAATATTAATCATCATGAACTAATGATGATTAATATTAATTAAACCTTAAGCTGCTGAGGCTTTCATTTGCATATAAGAATTAAAGGTACACGGGAGTGATGGGCTGTTATTGATTGTTTTAGCCTGTTGTAAATCTAAAGAATCGTGTCTTGTTGCTATTAGAGCAACCAAATGATATAACTTTAAAAAGTCATGTTAAAATGCATTGCTAGGGATTGGGGAGAGCCAGTTTAGTGTAGTGGTTAAGGCATCAGGTTAGACATTGAAAGACTGTGAGTTCTAGTCCCATTGTAAGCACAGAGCCAGCTAGGTGGCTTTGGGTTAGTCCAATGATTCCCAACGTGCACCCCATGCCCCACAGGGGGGCAATTTGATTTTTAACGGGAGCAATTTGAACCTTGTTTAAACCAGGTTAATGGTCTTTTAGGCTTCCTCTGCACGAGTAGAGTTCACTTTTTCAGTAAAGTAAGAATTATATGTCACGGGAATGGGGGGGGGGTATCAGGATTTTAGAGATGCTTAGGTGGGGTATGCCCAAAAAACGGTTGAGAACCACTGGGTTAGTCGCTTCCTCTCAGCGACTCTAGAAACGAGGCATTGGCAAACCATTTCTGAAAAATCTCACCAAGAAAACTTGAAGGACTTGTGAGGGCAATTTCTGAGAATCCGACTTGTTTGAACAGAAGAAAAAAAATGTGAGGAGAAATAATACATGTGAGGTATTTTGTAGATGGCATACTTTAAAATTGAATCTGCTGAGAAGATTGGTGGAAAAGAAAATGGTTAAAGCACATCATTTTTCTCCGCTTGTTATTGCTACATCAACCTTTGTGGGGAAGGTTGTTGAGAACCTTCGGCAGTCCTTGGATGAAACTGATTATCTTGGATGAAACTGATTATCTTGATTCCTTTCAGTCTGGATTCAGGCTACAGCACGGAAACTGCTTTGGTTGCGCTGATCGATGATCTCTGGAGAGCCAGGGATAGGGGTCACTCCTCTAGCCTAGTGCTCCTTGACCTCTCAGCGGCCTTCGATACC